TTAAAATATATTTTATATTAAAAGAAAGTCGTATGTATAATATTTTTACATGACTGCTGACCAACCCACAGCTTTATTTACTTAAAGGGACACTCCAGGCACCCAGACCACTTCTGCCCATTGGAGTGGTCTGGGTGCCAACTTCCACAACCCTTAACCCTGCAGCTGTAATTATTGCAGTTTTCATAAACTGCAATAATTACATTGCAGGGTTAACTCCTCCTCTAGTGGCTGTCTACGAGACAGCCTCTAGAGAGCACTTCCTGGTTTCTAGCACTATGTGAGGACCTCCAGTGTCGCTCAGTTCCCCATAGGAAAGTGTTGAAAGCATTTTCAATGCTTTCTTATGGAGAGGTCTAATGCACGCGAGCGGCATTGCCGCGCATGTGCATTAGGTCTCCCCTGCCGGCGGCCGCGCATGCTCAATAGGTCTCCCCCGCCGGATGATGTCTCCCCCGCCGGGTTTTCACCCCTTCAGCAACATGGGATGGGTGGTGGGAGGGAGAGGGGACCTGCAGTTCCAGGAAAACGATTTGTTTTCCTAGCACTGGAGTGTCCCTTTAAACACCAAATGCTAGCAAACATCACCCTGTCAGCTGTTGAGATGCTTCCCCAACAGACAGCTCTACCATGAAATAATCCAAGAGTCTGGAGCAGCCTTCCCCCGCCATCAGCTTTCAGCAGGCTGCGACTCCCCAAGCCACCTCAGCATCTTCTTCAACTGTACTGAGCTGGCCATGACTCCCGCAAGCTGTGACAAAACAAGGAGAAAACAAACACCAAACACCACAAACAACCAATAACTGAAAAAAGGAGGGAGGGTGGGAAAGCAAGGATCCCCACACTTTTCCTTACCTAACCTAGACGCCATCGTGCACCACGCCGACAGCGCAGCCTCAATACCAATCTGCAGGCCCATATTAAATATGTCTAAACTTAGTAAATTCAAGTGAACCCCATTATTCTGCATCAAGTTTTCATTATTGCCTTACTCCACATGCCTAACCAAGAAACCCCCTAAGTGGTGAACAAATCTGGACACAGTTACATTAAGCCTGCGCTGCCCTCTCTCAATACCTCACGCATGCAGTAACCTGTTCCAACATGGCTTAGGCACTATCTCTGAACACACTAACGACAGGTTCGGGAACAGGGCAACACAGCGTGCCAAATCCTGTCTGATCACATGTATTAAAAGTCAATGGTTCTCACCCGCCCCAACTAATTGCCCGCTGCATGAATAACTAAGTTAACTGGACCAATAACAAACCTATGGAAGGCCACACATTCCAGATAGAGCTGTGGCCAGGACAGCCCCCTGATATCCCTCCATCTAACATGAGCTACCTCAAATGAAAGGCCCAGATTCCGTCCATATTGGCGCACCTCAGCTCATTGCGCAGCCCAATAAATATACGAGTGGCCCAGGATCCAGACATAACGAGGGCTGGTACCTTCAAGACAACAATTATAACAAGTGAGGACGAACGTAAGATCAATATCAACCAGATTCCCATCTACCTAAGTGCCTGATATCCACAGCAGTATACCCCAACACACTCACCTGCGTGGCAGCGCCGATTCTAAACGAGTGAGCCGAGTACTCCTGGGAGTCCGCTCCAAATTCCACCAGTGAACCCTTCAACATCGATGTAAACTGGTAGCGTGTCAATGGAGACCCATCCAAGTGAACCAACAGGGAACCCGTCACCCTGTGCCAAACTCCTAAGTAACTGATAAACAGACGAACCAGACAAAACTCACCTCCTGTAGAACAAATCCGTACCATGCACCCTGTGACAGAACACCATCACTGCGTACCATGCCCACATGTTTGCCTGCTCATGGTTTTCAGGTCAGGACTATTTAACAATGAATTGCTTGTCTGTGCCTTTCCCACTCCCCCTTCCTTTTCTGAATATATTGCTTGTCTGTGCCTCTCCCCCTCCTTCTTCCTTCCTGTTGTATTGTGTTGTAGACCCCATGTAGGAGTCGGTGCCTAACAAACCATGTGTGACAAAATAAAAGGATTTCTCTGTACCTGAGAGGGGATTGAATTCTCTTTCAGGCACAAAGGATCATGGGAAGGATTGACCTTAGGGGTTGGGTTGGAAACCCCTTGCATAGGGCTTTTGCATAAGTGGATTTTCTGTACCTGAGAGGGAACTGAATTCTCTCTCGGGCACAGAGCATCATAGGAGGGATAACCCTGTAATGTTGTGTTGGAAACCCCTTGCATGGGGCTTTTGCATAAAAGGCTGTGTGTGGCCCTGAATAAAGAGTCAGTTTGTGTTGTACTCCCAGAGCTATGTGTCTTCCAGTTACTGGGCAAAAATGGATGCCTGCTTGTTGTAAGGGTTCCTGAGCTGCTGAAGGAAGATATTAGCGGAGGTAACTGGTTGGGTTACCCATGGTCCACTACAAATGGTGGCAAGTGGTGGGATGGCACTTCCCAGCCGAACGGAACCAGCGTTCATTAATCAAACAAGCATGGCGTCCAGCTACAGTAAGGCAGAGTTTGACAATCTGCTGATGAGGCTGCTGGCTTTCTATGGACCCAACCCTACTGAGGAATATGTACAGGACTATCTTGGCTAGGCACATGCAGCGCAAAGCAGAGAGCGGCATTGTGAGTTATTTGGAGTGAAGGCAATCGGTCTTGTTCCTCAGCCGCAGTGTGAGGTCCAGAAACAGAGACACCCGGTCTTGTTCCCCAGCAGCATCCCAGGGAGAGAAGTGTTCAGTCCTTCCTCCCCAGCGGCAGTGTGAGGTCTAGGGAACAGAGACACCCGGTCTTGTTCCCCAGCAGCAGCGTGCGTCCCAGGGAGAGAAGTGTCCCGTCCTTCCTCCCCAGCAGCAGTTGGAGGTCCAGGGAACAGAGACACCCAGTCTTGTTCCTCAGCTGTGTTAGTGGGAGTGGAGACAGTCGGTCTCTCTCCCCAGCAGTAAAGTGAGATCCAGGGGGAATATTGCTAGCTCCCTCCCCTGTATCCCGAGCAGCGCCAGGGGGAGAGCACTGTCGGCTCTCCTTTCCAGAAGCCAGCCACGTCCCCAGCAAGGCACAGGAAGCGGAGCTACGAAGGATGCCCCAAACAGCACCCATCATCCTCAGCCAACCGGGAAAACGGTGGGAACACACGTGGTGGTACCAGCACCCAGGGGTCTCTGAGCCCATAAAACCCCCCACCCAACCCAAACAAATGTGGACTGGGCGGCCTCCCGGGCTAAAGGCGCTCTATGTGTAAGGCACCCTGTACCTGCAGGGTGCAACGCCGGCCAGACCCCGGGACTATTGGAGCTGGCTGAGGACAAGTGCTGTTGTGGGCATGGCACTTACAGACTATGTGTCCACTCCAGACAGCAGCGAGCTTACCCATGTGGATCATGCTGTGGCTGTTGGAGGTGGACAAGGGGGAGATGTGTGATGGAAGCCTCCTATCGTGCCCTCTCCTAAGCCTCCAACCCCGCAACACTCGCTGAACCGAAAATTCCTTTGTAACATCTCTCCAACCCATAAACCTAAACAAAAAGGACAATGCGGACACCACTTTTTCTGCTGCTGAGCATGACTTACCCTGTTGGAGCAATCCTTCCAAAAAAACCAACGTCCTCTCAAAACGACCCGACTCAGACGCTACACCTCCCTCTCAGATTCCTACTGACAGCAATTGCCTCCATATGGCCCAATATGCTCTCCAAGTACGAGCCTGGAAAATGACATCCCAACAAATGAAAACAATCAGGGTGCACCGGCAACAAGCAGAACATTGATTCAATGTCCATTTTTTGCCAACAGCCCCTGAACCAGCTTCAAAGCCCTATCAAATGACAAGTACCGAACCCTACAGACCTCCTTATCGATGTCATCATTGACCGACCTACCTGAAGGGTAGGACAGATGCCGAATCAATTGATAGGACCCCTCCTCCTTCTTGAGAAACCCACAAGTTAGGAAAAGCGGGGGTATACGACCCAGCCATATGCCCCCGCTGCACATCCCCCTCCAATTTACCCTGAAGGATGTCCTCCTTACCCCTTACTGAACAGAGATTGTCAGCAAACTGAGGCTCATCTGAAGCAACAAGCAGAATACAAAACCCCAAAGAAAAACTGTCAAAAAGAGTTTGCACCTCCAGGTAGTTCAGGTAGTTCTAGGTACCTGTCTAACCATCATTGCATCCTTGTGATGTTCACCAACGTCCACTGACGTTCACCGACGTCCGACGTCCTCACCGCGAGGCATGTCATCCTGCCCTGTTCCCTGTGCCCTGTGCCCTGTGCCCTGTGCACTCGTCCTTCCTTTCCTGAAGCATCACAATTCATTTGAACCTGCAGGAGCTAAGCCACCTGCAGTGGCTCTCAATGAAGAGCCAACACACACCTTTTTTGTTACCCGCTGAGATGCCGGTAGAAAAGCCGGCAGCCCCTGGAAAGGGAGATGTACAACTAGGGGTCATTAGTAGCAACCACAAACTACCGTCATGGACCCCAAAGTCCATCCCTGGGCACACCACCATCTTCTGGCGAAATTGCTGGTCATAGTAAAAGCAGCATTGCCCACCGTACACCTTATAAGCCCCCCAAATCAAATTCAGGTACCCAAATAACGAGGGGGCTCTCTCAGGGAAATGTCACACTAAAATACTGGCAAATATGTTAAAATCCTGCAGCCTGCTTACCTTTCTCCGGGTCACCAAACTCCCCACGGCACAGCCTGTCCACTGATTCCTTGCACAATGGCACCAGCGACGGGACATCCAAAAACTCACCTCACTAGATCACCTGCAGCTCCATTGGGACATGCATACCCAATGGGGCCAACTCACAGCCTGGCAAGGGGGGGGCAATACGCACTTGGGCAGGCCAACTCTTGCTCCACTGGATCCTCCTGCTCCACCTCTTCAGACTCAGAATTAGGCCCAGCCAGGTGTCTCCTGGTCCTTGTAGCATTGCTGCGGCCTGCGGTCTCCAGAGCTCTGGATCCTGCTTCCAGCTCCCTCTCAGGCTCCCTCTGTCTTCTGCAGACATTGTGACCTCCTATCGGCACCAGGGCCTCTGATGCGGTCACATTCCGCCGTGCCACCATCGCGTAGGCACCCCACGATGATGCCACACGCGCCCGACTTCCGGCGCATTGCTTGTCTTCCAGATACATCCTGCTGCCATGCCGCGTCACTTCCAGTGGCATTGAACCTAGCCGCTGACGTAAAAACATCAACGAAGCTGGACTGCAGGAACTTCACGCCAAAGCACCACCATCTTGGGCTCGTTCCGCCTCCTGCCTCACCGAACTTTGGAGGAATCCGATTCCATTGTGCCTTGCGACCCAATTTCCTCCAGGTCCCGGCTTCTGCGTCCAGCATCGCTTCTTTGGACCGGAATAGGGGATAAGCACGATGGAGGCCTTGATCTCCTGGCCCTCCGTCTGCCCTCTGGTAATTCATCCACCGACGGGTCTCCAGACCCTCCTGGACCACCAACCACACTGGACATCACTTCCTACAGGGCCCCAGCACTGTTGGCCTCGAGGTATACCTGCAACAAGGCTACCAATGAATCTTTGGATGTCGCCATCCTATCTCCACTGATACCAGAAGACAGCAGGGAAAGGTACTAGTAGAAATGCCTAGCTTTAGACAGCTTCTCAAACACTTTTTCTTACTTTTTTTTGATCAGCCGGCCAGCCAGGAAAGCTAGGATCCCCACACTTTTCCTGACTTTTCCTGACAAACTGGTGAGTCCCCTCCCTCCTCCCACCTTCTTATCCCTTCTCTCAACTAGCAACAAATGTATCCATTTTGGTCCCAACTCCTCAGGTCCTCCCTTCCTTGTCAGTCCAGGGAGGTACATTAGTTTTATTTAATTTGTGAAAGGATTGTAGACTGTCGGGCTTCTAGCAAAGGTGAAATGGTTAAACACAGCATTTGTGCAGCTTGCGCACAAGTAGTTTTTTTGTTTTCTAACTATGTGCATGAGTTCTAGTCTCTGTGTGAATTTATATGTAAGATATGTGCAAAAGGAATGATGTAACCAAGGTGCTAAAGCAGTGGACCTATAGCATATCTCTCTGGACTTTAGCTTATGAATAAGTGTCTGGTATTAGATTTAAGTTGCTTTATTGTTTGTTTTTTACAAGGATGGCTTAATGTTAAATCAATGCATATCTATGAGGAAAATTTAATGTCTCCATGCATATGGTGGAGACACTGAATGGCAGTGTTGCACACTGTGCAGCACTGCCCCAGGAAGCACCTCTAGTAGCCATCTGTGAAGTGTCCATTGGAGGTGCCCCTAGGCTGTAATGTAAACACTGCATTTTCTCTGCAAAAAGCCTGCAGGGACTGACAATACTCACCAGGATAACACCATTAAGTTGTAGTTGTTGTAGTGACCCTTTAAATTTGTTCTAGCTGTGTAAGTAGAAGACAAAGCTAACTGCAACATTTTACTCATGTAGCCATTAATATTAGCTGCACTCATAAAATTAAAAGACTGGTCATCATCTTATTTTGACAATGCATTCTTATTTCACTTTTGTAATTAGTATACTTGATAATGTTTCTGTCGACAAAAATATAGTTTCACGTTCTGATTGTAACATTTGCAAATGCTATAATTATGACTACACGTAACAAAATTAGAACCAATAATCTGGATTGACCAGTTCTCTGTGTCAAGCGAATGATCTATCAATGTGCAAATAAAAAAACAAAAAAAAGTCCTGTGTTTTTTTAAATAATTTTTTTGTACCTATTGAGTTTTAGCATGTACAGGGGAACAAAAGAAAAAGGAAAGCCCTTGTATTTATATTGGGGGAAGGTACATTATTGTTTTTAAACATTGCGAAATCAAGCTTGGTGTTATTGTGTTGTGCAACTTTTGCATGGATCCTTGGAGAAAAAAAATGCTTATTCTGAATTTATCTGTCCATTAAAAAACAAACAAAATTAACTAACCTTGGAACTCTTTCAAGCACTAAGTACACTTTCGTTTAAGTACACTTAAAGTTAAAATTGTAGCCAGAAAATAGAAACCACTGCATTCCAAAGAACATTATCACTACCTTATGTATTGCTGCTTTCTATAAAATATATAGAAGTCTTTGAGATAAAATATTCAGCTGTTTTTAATGTCATTGTTACCCTCTAAGGTAATATTTTTTATATAGGATGTCTTGGGAAAAATATGTGTATTGATACAAAGACTTTAACAAATAAAAGGGAAATGTTTTAAGCCTGGAAAGCAGAGGATTATAGGGAATTTTCATACGAATTTAAATTATGCCTATTTATGCACATAAAAAGTAGCTACAATAAAAAAGATTAAAGTATTTTAGATTAATCCCTTTACTACAATTTTTTTTTAAATATTTAATTAAGTTTATGATTCATCTGTTAATTAACCTTTTGCAGTAATATGTGAGGTTATATGACTTCCTTTTTCATTCAATACTGCTCATGTTTGTAAAAAGTAGCCTAGCTGAATAAATAAAATATTTTTAACACATTTTAGTTATTAAATATATATTTTAGATAGTCAAATATTCTGCTTATGGGTATTTGTAGGGAAACTGCTTACTTTTGTAGATTAAAAAAAATTGCAGAAGTAAACCTTGAATGTTTGAATGTTGATTTTCTTGGTTAGGAATGAATCTCACATGCAATAAAACATAGTAACCTGGCTTAAACTTCAAGATATGTATTATAAAAGACTTATAATAATGCTATGTGTACCTTTAAAATACTTCCTGTGCACTTGTTCCCCTTTTCGCCTTATTTAAAATCCTTCTGCATGTTGCAAAGGGACTGACTCGTTTTACAGCAGAGATATTTCAAACACACAAAAACAGTCCAATGATTAATTTGGAAGTAAATGAGCTAATGAGTTCGTATGGTTCTAATGTGGTTCTATTCCTCTTAGGACAAATACATGATTGGCACATTATATACTAGTGTTCTATTCTATGTTGTGCAGTTCTTTGAAACAAAAATGTCACTATGCTAGCAGGAGTTTTCTATACTATTGTTACTACAGAGAGCAGAGAAAGAATAGCTTGTCTCTTTGGATAATGTATAATATTTTGTGAATACCTTCTACGGCTAAATTTATATAGAGGGGGCACATGTTCAGGGAATACCATTATTACATATTGTAGATTGGATTATTAGCGTAAGCACACAGAGAGTTTGATTGGAATAGTTCAGATATTGTGTCCAAGAGGAAGAACACCAAATTATATCCTGCACATACAAGACAATAATACATCATTATACTTGACTAAAATTGCATATTGTTATGCAGGTAAACTATTGTGTTACTAATATAAAATGAGCAATGTTTATAACAGATAAGAAATTCATAGAAACAGAAGAACATGCCTAGAATAAGTCTACAACACAAACTGACAAGGACAATAGATGATGACTGTATCTAATCAAGCAATTCATACAATTTGTATGATAGATATTAATATTGGAACATTCTCGCCAATCAAAGCAATTCTCTAGAATTTGCACTGTAAACAAAAGTGATAGCGAGACCACGATGAAAACAATTTGCTATCCAATTTAACTTAAAGCACAATCTAACTTACTGTAAATCAATTAATCACTGCACTATGGATTTCATAAAATCTACTTTTTTTTAATACTGTTTTTGTTTACCAGAAGTCAAGGGTAAATTCATTAAATTTGTGCACAGGGCAAAAGATTGATTGCTCAGATTCAGTTTGTCCAAAACAAAAAAAAGTTCAGATGTTATTATTAAATTGTTTTAGTTTGCCCACATGTCATTACTAATAGGGTTATTCACTAAAGTGAGAATTCAAAGTGAATTTGAAGTTAATTTTAAATTATAGGACTGGAAACATTTTTTTTAACTCCGCTATGCTTCTACTCCCACTACTTGGGCCTCAAATTTAAATTTCGCTTAACATTATATTTGAATTCTCACTTTAGTGAATAACTGATTTTTTTTTCAAAGACTGAATGCATGTTTAGCCCCTCATTTATTGCTGGTGGGTGAGTTGTTAAAATAGAGCTCGGAAGGGGAATTCAGGAGGAGAGCGCAGGGAAAGGGATGATGAACGTAAGGGAGGGATTTGAAAAAAAAAGAAAAGGAAATTAAATAAATAAAAATAGGATGGGGGAGGGGTAATTAGTTTAGTCATGCTTGGAATACCTCTATATTAAATAGAGGAAGGGTAATTACTTGTGTAGCAAGAAGAAGTATCCTGACATAAGAAGCAGAAAGGGTCCATCACCCACACTGAGTTAACATCAACGAGAAAAACAAGGTCCCCATTTCTGCAAATAGGCAAAAGAAAATGTTTAGATTTTAGGAAAATGTTTAGATTTATAATTAAGGATTATGTTGAGGTTCTATCATCAGCTCTTTTTGATATGTAGTCTATTCAGGTATACTACAGAGTATTGTTTTTATCACTATTATGTTATGAAGTGAAGTTATTAAGTTTTCCCTGGACAACTTGGGAAGGGGAAGCATGCCTGCTGCCCATGGACAATGGGCTGGAGTTAAAGTGTAACAATGTTGCAAAGTTTAGCAGTTTAAAGAGTAGGGAGTCAGCAGGAACAGTTAAGGGACCCTGACTTTATTTCCCACCATCCCGCCCTGGTTTTGGTGTGCTGTGTTTCGGTGTCTTGTTGTTTGTTTTCTTTTGTCACAGTTTGGCTGTTTTCCTGGACAGCACAGCTGGAAAAGGAGCAAGACGTGGTGTCACTTGGGGAGACGACGGCCAGCACAGGGCTGATGGCTAGTTGCTGGCTGTTGAGGCTCATGGAGAATGAAATGGGAGAACAGTCTGTTGGGCAACTGCCCAGGTTTTGGATGATGTTAAGAATTGGTTCTGTTAATAAAGCTGTGGCCGTTGCCCTTATCTGTCAGAAAGGTGTCATGTGTGTTATTTGGGGGGCAACGGTGGGATGCTATGTATGGGTTAGCAGATAAGTCTTTGGCAGCTTTTATTTTCTCCACTTTAGTAAGCCACTGCTGTTTGGCTGGGGTTTGTGCATTTTACTGTATTCAATAAGTGTCTCAGGATTACATTTTTATGTTTGGAAATTGTTGTGGCCTATTTTCAGGTACAAAGAGGGTAGTGGAGTCAAATATCTTGGTGAGGGTGTTCTGTTCCATTCACCAGAAGGGAACCATAGCAGGTCTGAGTTATTGAGGGGATAATTTTATGAATGGATTCAGGGATATTACACCACACTCACGGGATATTACTGAACCAAACCTTGTGGTGATTTAGGTGGATGTAATCCATTTTTCTTGACTTTACTACACTGCATATGGATCTCTGCAGGATAAGAGACATTATTAACCCCTTAAGGACACAACTTCT